CCCTCGGTGCCAACAGCGCGCGGCTCTCGGTCCCGTCTCCTCTCCTTTGTAGCGAGGCTCAACAACTGGCCCCCGTTGCCATCCTTCTGCCCCGTGAAGCCTTGCTTCTACCAAGACATCCCTGTGGAGATCCCTGCGGACTTCCAGAAGACCGTTTCCACCATGTATTACCTCTGGATGGGTGAGTCCTCGGACGGGATGCGAGGGCGGATCCTGCTGCGCTCATGGGGGAGCGAGTGCTCCGTCCGCGAGTGAATCCCGCCGCCCGGGAGAGCGGTGATTACAGCTTGGTGCCGCGGCCTGGAGGGGCGATCTCTTGGCGCGGGGCGGGCCTTGCCGTTGCTCAGGTTGCCTGACCCACGTCCTCTCTCAGCCAGCACCATTGCTCTCTTCCTGAACTTCCTGACCTCGCTGGCCTGGTTCTGTGTGGAGCCTTCGTCGGGTTCTGGGTTCGGCCTCTCCATTCTCTGGGCTCTTCTCTACACGCCCTGCTCCTTCGTCTGCTGGTATAGGCCAATGTACAAAGCCTTCAGGTGTGTGTTTGCTTGAGCTCTGGGACCAGCAAAGCAGCGGGGTGGGGCGCCTGCAAGGTTGATGCTTGTCGCTGGGGCAGCTGGACTCCTCGACAGAACAAGCACCTGCCTCGAGTGTGGCACTGGGGACGTCCCAGCTCTCGTTTCTTAAAGGTGTCAGGGATATGGCGATCCTGCACTGAACGTGTGTTTGAGGAACAGGTGCTGCTTTGGATGTGGCTACCCTAAGGCGGTCACAGGAAGTTTTTCTGTGGGCCGTGCTGTCGGAGCTCCTCTTCCTCTGCTTTCTGCTTGCTATAAGTCACTTAACGCCTGGGTAAGGGAGGTGGGAGGTGGCTGTGACTCTAGGGCCTGCATATTCACCTGTGTCCCCTGTGCCCTGGTGCGAGGAAGGCTTGAGCGTTGTTTTCTCTGGCAGGGGTGGCCTAACCTTCTCTTTCTCTTACTATCAGGAGCGACAGTTCGTTCAACTTCTTTGTCTTCTTCTTCGTCTTCTTTGCCCAGAACGTCATGTACGTGCTGCAGGCAATTGGCATACCAAACTGGGGATTCAGGTAGGGGCTGCGCTGGCCCTGGAGAGCCCTGGCCAGCTGCGTAACGCAGAGCCGGAGGAGGCTGGTGGGGAAAACGGCTCTTGCGGGCAACCACCTCTTGTTTTGCAGTGGTTGGATATTGAGTCTGATAGCGCTGAGGAAGAACACAGCTGTGGCTGTGATGATGATCCTGGTGTCCCTGTGCTTCACAGCAGTGGCTGTGCTGGGTATCATCATGCTGAAAAAAGTGAGTATTGAGTGAGCCTTGAGGCAGAACTGCCCCGTCCTCTGGGAGGACAAAGCTGGTGTTGGCAGGCACGGGGCTGAGCTCTGCCCGCCGTCTTGTCCCAGAGCAGCAGGCTGTTGGGGTGCGCTGCTCCTCCGTTCATCAGGAGTTGGGGTCTGGAATAGGGTGGGTTCGCTGACCCCTGAGCCTGCCCATCTCTTTCAGATCCACTCTCTGTACCGCCGGACGGGCGCCAGCTTCCAGAAAGCGCAGGAGGAGTTTGCTGCGGGCGTCTTCTCCAACCAGGCAGTGCGCACCGCAGCGGCCAACGCTGCAGCAGGTGCAGCCAGCAACGCCTTCCGGGCGCCCTAGGCAGGCCGAGCCCCTGGTTTCTCACTTGCATGGGGGCTATTTTTAAAGAAGAGGAAATCCAAGTTGCACTTTCATTGGATCCCCGTCTGTCTGCATCAGCTGTTGGAGGCTGCCTCATCCCAGCTTGGAAGTGCTGGTGCCTGGATTGTCTGCTGCTCTAACCCCTTCCCTCACGGACGGAGGCTGTTGTGGTTTGTGCTGGTCCCCTTCCCTCGGTGGACAGAGACGGGAGGGAAGGAGCAGGATGGGAGGCGCAGTGTCCGAGCCCTGCGCCTGCCATTGCCATCCCTTCCAGCACCGGCTGCTGGGGCGCGGGGGGCTCCTCCAGATCTGTGACAGGGACTGAAGCAGCTGCTGACCTTTCCCTCGTATTGCCCGTGGATCTCCTGTTCCCCCCGGTGATGTCACTTGTGTGCTGTGGGGCACGAAGGGTCCCCGCTTGTGTCCCAAGCCCAGGGTGTATGTGGGCTAGCTCTCTCCCTAGAAGCTTTTGCCCTTCTTTCCTTTGAAGCAGGACCAGGTTCTCTGCCAAGAAGTCATCCCCGTCTTCCCTGGGGGCTTGCTCCTGTGGGGCTGGGCTGGCTCTGTCCCCAGGAGCTGCCAGCCTGGGGGGGGGGCTGAGCTGGGAGGCAGCACCAGAACCAGTCCCCTTCCCCTGCCCTCTCGCTGTGTCCCTTATGGGGCTGGGATGAGCCTGCTCCAAGTGCAGGGATAGGGAGGGAGAGGGCTGCTGCGAGAGGCAGCAGCGGTGCCTATGCTTCTGGCGAGGGTGGCTGCCGTCGGCCCCTACGCCACATTGCAGCCTTCGGGGCCTGGCAGCTGAAGGACCCTGAACGCAGGCTGGGCACCTCCTTGTGCCTCCGCACCTTCCCGCTCCCCCCTGCC